ATAAGTAACGACCTTGTTTGGGTGTAGACAGGCCAACAGAGGGTAGAACTATGAGGAACTGGTTGTTATCTCTTAGGCCGGAAAAAACCGAAGATACGTTGAAGGTACGGAGGCAAATGAATTGTTCTACTGGACTGAAGATGGCATAATCAAAACTTTGTGGACATTGCACCGTGATGGTATGATGATATTTATGATGATATTTATCTGGGTGTGTCAAGGCCCCAGTTTCCAAGAATAAACTTGATATCTGTGTGAGCTGGATCGAAACTACAAGTCGGCCGGATTGATATTATCAGTGGCAAATACTAACATATCATCTATAACTAGCATGCAGTTAAAATGCCTAAAGGGTGTACCAAGCCGTTAAGATTCCAGTATAATCATGGTTTTCAGAAAAGGATCCGAGGAAAACCTAATACCAATACATTTCTATCGTCATATCCCACTACTGATGTTACGTTGAGCAGTGTATATGCACGTATTAATAGTTCTTTCGGATTGAGACTCTCGGAAGTAAACTGCAGAAAACCCAGTGAATAACTGGATATGTGAAAGTATGTCCCATTGTTTTGTCAAGTGTGTAAGTCACTTAAGTTGATTCCAGTACCATGGGAAAGGACTGTGCTTGTGGTTTGCGTTTAAGTAATATTAGGCCGTCGAACAATTGGATGGCTTTAAGAAGACAAGTTGGTTGCCTTTTAGTGAGCTCCGGTTGCTTGAAGCATTCTTGAGAACTCTACGTGACACATAAAGATGAAAGAGCTAATCAATCAAGTGAAAGCTTATCACACTTCTGTTCGAGTGCTTGTGGCGGAACGGTTAGAATTTCAACTACTGGCCAAAAGCTCGCGAATTCAGACTTCTCTGAGTTTCGTGAGACGCATCCTGCTGAACCGCTGTGCAGTGCTCCAGCAGAGTGACCTTACTAACGATGCGAAACATTAAATTAAAATTACTGAATCTATTCACGCTATCACTAATTGAAATGGATGCATTTCGGCTGAGGTTTCACAGTGTGTACTATGCACCATGAATGAGAAAAGATTGTTCGTCAATTTGAAAGGACAGCGCCATTCAATTGTTTATTTGAATGATCTGAATTTCACCCCATAGATTAACTGCACTCGACCGCCGTTCCGTACTCTCTACCACGAATCTCGGCCCACCATTGACCAAAATGACAGGTTCATTTTCACAGCCCAATAGGAAATTCCAATGTTCTATTGATTTCACTGCCAGTCCGAACTGAGTACTGTTCTAACCCATAAACTGCAGGTTTCCCTCTTTATGTATAAGTGACTTCGACCGTTCTGAACACTGCAGATAATTTGAAATTCTACTGAAGTTGATGTTCCCATGCTTGCTTTACTTACGTCATACTCCCAAACTTTAGGTTGAAAAACTTTACAGAAGCATTTCTCTTGTGGAGCTCCGAAAGATGCGGAAGATCCAGAGGAGCTGAAAATAATCATGACTGGGCCCAATCAGTTGGAACATGTGCTACTTCTGGTCTACCTCCGTGAAGGTGTCTCTAGAACTTACAAATAGCATCCTTTAGTTTGTGAACAAATAAATACAAAAGGCGAACGGTGTCACGCTATTACAAATGCACAGAGGTAATTTGGGACTCTAAAGACCACTGTATATTAATACAACGAAAGTTCGGTTGATAGTTTTGGAGATGTGGGATTAGTGCTGTTACGAATAAGGCCCGGCTACTTCTGAGGTCGAACTTTTCAGAGAACACTGTCCAATGGATATGCAAAGTGAAAAGTGATACGTTTACGTGGTGCAGCTTTGACACGCTTAACTGTAAATCTGTTTTATTCATCTGGGCTACTTTTTGTAGCTTGCCAACCTTCCGCCTTCTAAACCCTCCTCTTTAGTTGGTCCCTTCCCAATGAGACAACGTTTGTTAGTTTAATTAATTACTCTAGTACAACCAGATTCCCACGACGTTCCTCTTTTATTAGTCTAGCAAGAGTATGAAATGCCGGTCGATCGCATGGGGGTAGTCTAGACTGAATTCCGGGTGCGTACGTGTCGTATGCAACAACTCACAACTGACTCGGCTGACTCAACTTTCATATTGTTGTGTCGTTTAACGATTGGTCATGTACATTCTAACTGGTGAGCTCGGTACGCCATCCCGCTACCTGGGTTTAACGTGATTTGATAAACCCAATCGATTAAGGTTGAGTAAAACCGAACAGTCGATGACACATAGGTGCGTTGCACTCATATTTTTAGAGATTCGTGATGTATGGGATGACGAAACTCAGTAAACGGATGTGCCCGTTTAAGTTATCCAGTTTCCTACTATTCTGAGTCACTCCGATGTGGAATTACCTAACGGCTGCTATTTTTTCTCCGTAGGAGTACGCAAATATTGCATATCCGACCGAAGTTCAGTATGCTTCTGGTAGATGGAGAATAAGTGAGAGATTATATAGGCAGTTTCGTAGGGATCCTGTCCTGTAAACGAATTGCATAGGGTAAAGTGACTCTCAGTCTCATCGCTTAAATGGCTTTTCCTATCAGGCGGTTTTCAGAATAGTACGTGCTCAACAATCTGATGGGGAGTGGCAACCTGTCATAGGTCTGTACGGTCTGCGGAAAGCTCGAAAACAGAAAAACAGATTAGCATGGATTAACCGCAGACCAGCAGCCTGCTGATTAGTTTATTGTCACTTGTTAGATTGCCGCTAAATGATGATCTCCAGCAGAGCAGCATATGTACCCTTTGGGGGCACTGATCAGCTAGCAAGTAGTCATTTTAGAGGTGCTCTTGCTTTTATTTAGAAGTTAAATTTATATTAGTATATTGAGTAAGTTATTGTGTGGCCTTTCATTATTACGAGACCGTTTTACGTGCCGCAACACAAATTTCTCCGAGAATTTTATTCTCCATTAAGGTTGTTGAGGGAAAGTTCAGTCGTTGGCGCAGATTCAACGCATCTTATCAGCTGGACCCTTGACCAAGCTTCACCCACTAATCGCACTCACGAATCTGTGCAAGTTTGTTTATTGGCCATGACATGCGAGGTTGCGATTTTATCTCTTTTAAAGCCTTCCACCCTGACCTATTAAACAAAGCACGCACAAAATAGTAATTACTATTCGTTTACTCCCCTACAACAAGCCCCAATCCCTTAACCATAGAAACAAAAAGTTGGAATCGCTCTTTAGTTGTTGTGAGCGGATATGACACGATAGCAGTACCATTCAGAAATATATCTGCTACGACTGATTCAAATAAGAACTTCATTGTTATTCCATCTGTCTGCTGATGGATATTTCTACTCAACAGAGAACTGTGCGTCTGTCGTGCAGCGTAGCACTTGCCCTTAACAGAAGATATGATCAAAACCGAACTGATTTTAAACAACTGGTACACATTTTTTGATGTAATCATTGTTTTCCAATTCCTTAGTGCAGTCAGTTAGCTGAATTTGCACTTTTTATGAAACTCCCTCTTTTTTCCTGAGAATATTTAGTTTAGCCGGACAAGACTTGAGATCATTCGCTAAGGCAGTTAGTTTTATCCAGAGACTTGGACGATATTGACCCTTCCACTGTGATGCAGCCAATTTCCGAACTGGATTCATGTGCGTCGGAAACCAAAACCAGGACCAATGTGTGTACATGGCCGGCTCAAGGGGACCAAGGGACGACCAAAAAACGAAGACGACGGCCTCCAGTAAAACCACAGGTCTATCCAAGATCCGATGATTTGGCGAGGTTGGCTGGGTTGCACTTTGATTAGCGCTTTGGTTCCGTGTCTGTCATTATCCGACACCGGACCATTGGGGGGGGGGGGTTCGAGGGGTTTTTGGTTCCGTGGCTGGTATTATCCCGCACCGGCCCCTTCGGGGGGGGGGGGGTTCGAGGTGTTTTTTCTGATAGTTTCGTGGGATTTCTTAATCCAATAGCTTCTCGATGGTTAGGCAAGGTGTACGCCTTTTGTGTGGACCGGAAAAACGCAATGAAACGCAGGGACGCACAAGTATGTGGTCGGAGTCCACGCGGGTACTCCAGAGGGAGCAGCGAGCAATGATTGACCCCCCACCGCCGTTTACTGATGTCATTTCGGTCATTTTTGGATTCAGGACTGGTTCCTCGGTGGGCACTCCAGTATAAAGCGATTTCCGCCGTTTTGTAAATTGACATTGCGAAAGACAGTCTGTGATCAACACACACCTGAAGCAGTCTCTCTCTGTTGTCCTTGCTTTTCGTATCCAGCCCAAGAAGACCACACAGTTAGAGCTCAACGGCGCTTAGGCTACACACCTGAGTGCACTAGCAACCGCGAAGTGTCGATAACGATTGACGGATTTCATGAATAGTGCACCGTTGTATTTTTGCCGCTATGCCAAAATTGCTTCAGAACATAACAAATGATGGTTTAGCGCCAAGTTTGAGGACATCCATGGAAGTTGTATCAGGAAGTTCAGGAGTAACTACCATAAAGAGGTAAATCAATGCGTTTTCGACCGTCAAATTCAAATATGGGATTGGCATTCCACATAATCATTTATACCACCCTAACATAGAGGTATTTAGGCCATCACCAGTTCATCTGGGCTTGATCAAAGACGCTCTTTCTCATCTGTTTGGTAGTGTTCGAGTACAAACAGGTGAAACTTTCCATTTTATTGCCTCAAAAGACACTGTTTAATTTTGCGAAACAAGTTCACTGTATGTTAGTGTTTGATTGATGGGGAGATATTGACGAACTCTTAAAATTTAAATTGCGGTTTCACCTTGCATATCACGCCACTGTGCACGGAAAATTTGGGGGGCACTGATCATCCTTGCTAGGAATCATCAGCGGTGTGCCCCTGACGAATTTCTGACGGGCTTCAAAATTGCTTGGCCATGAGCGGCTGATCAGCAATGTAATAAACTCGCACTTATGCGGGTTTTGGTGCTTCTCGGCTCTTAAACATAACAGAATTGAATATTGATCGAGATTTTAAAACTCCCTAATGGTGCCATCAAATTACAAGTGTTCCTAGCGAAACACTCATTTGCAAACTAATTTGGTTTTTCGTGAGACACACCTGAAACCCAGCTGAATCTCTCATTTGTGATGTTTCCAGGCAACTGAATGTGCTGCACCGGGTAGCCTCATGTTTCAGTCTCTAGGATATTCGAGATATCACGATACATAAGTATTTTTGTAACGCACTAGTCATACATAAGGTTGCAAATGAGTGTACTTCTCTAATTTCGTGCAATTTGGTTTCAAGTAGAACAAACTAGAACATAAGGTTGACGGAAACTCGAGGACTGCGCCTACCTGATGAGCCCGAAGAAGGGCGAAACCGGTCGTGGGCTGTCGATGGATTTTCAGCAGCCTTATGAGTAGTGCATTACAAATACAAGTGTTCTCATTAGGAACGAAAACCTCTCATAGGTCACACAGGTTCTCCACCAGATATGTCACTCAAGGAGCCAGCTAATCACTGAGCACGTGATATAAATCTCATGATTGAAAAATGGGTGACGGTATATCGCTGCTTTGGTATTGATTCCGGTCAGTATTCCTAATTGCCAACTACATTAAAGTGAGTTAATCAAATATCTTGACTGACCTCGCTTATTATGTTTCCATCGAAAAAAGAGGATTCAGACTGGTAGTATGACAAAAATAAAAAAACATTTGCTTACACTCGCTATTTGGCACACTGCTCTAATAATATAGACGAACAAAGATATTAAACAGCAAACAGCATTACTGCAAGATGACTGGGAAACCAAAAGTGTGCTTATAATTCATTCCTTCTTTGCAACTAGGATCCTCGTTGTAAAGGCTATTCTGAAAGCTAAATACGTTCTTACCATTCTTTGATTTCAGTTAAAACCCAACGATGATTATATGGAGTTGGTGAAGCAAACACACTGAAACTCGACATCTGGATTCTACCTTGAATGTGAATAAGCCATGAGTTAACTAGTCGAGGCACACCATTTTTCCACTTGCTGCTGAAACCCGCAACCTTCAATAATTTCAAGTTGATATGAATCCAACCATCACAAAACCAGCCGGATTTTAAAAGCAGTCGTGTGTTAAAGTGGAGAAATCGGTTCAGACTATGCATCTACAACCTGCGTGTAGACGTCAAGTGCAAGTGCAGACAAAACAGCAGGGGAAAATATCGATCACTGAAAAAGAGTCAGATGATGTAGTCATTAGTGCCAACCGATTTCTGGCGAGTAAGATAGAACAAAACGCATATCGATTTCGTTGATCAGAGCTGGTCACTAGCGATTAGGCGATTCACGTCCTTAAATTGTGTTTCCTCTTAGACCAGAATGACAGTAAGAACAGACAAAATGCTATCGGTTAAATAGATCTTAGTTCGATTAAAAGATACAACCCAACGCATACATGTCTAACGGTATTCTGACATCTTTTGGTTTCTCATACAATTGTGTAAAACTGGTTTAAATTTACAAGTACTGATTTAAGTTTGGCAAGTGATTTGAGGCCATAGAGTAGTTAAGAGATACACTTTCCAGCCTTCTAAGCACCCTGCAGGTGGACTAGATTCCATCTTATCTTGTTACTTTATCAGTTGTCCGATTAGGCAACTAACTGGTTCAACCAAGCCTTAACGTTGTATGTTGAAGATACATACAATTTGTGTCGTTGGAGGTTATTGTCTGAGTCACTGCCAGAGCTGTTGGTAAAGTATACTATACGTTTCGTCCCCTTAAAGGATTAGTCCACTGCAAAAGGAAAACTGAAGCATGGTTCTTTCTTTGAAACTGCTACATTAGTTCCGTATTATAGCTTCAGTTATAGTCAGTTAATAAGTCATAGATGTACCCATTTTTATGTTCCACAACCTCAAAACAGTTGACCAAGATTTTGACAATACCCAAACTTGTGATCTCGCTATATCAGTGAGCGGTGAACGTGAACGGATACCGTTTCATCTGCTTCGAATTGCAGAAACTGGTCTATACAGAGAGAGATACGACTGGCATTGTTTACGTGTCAATGAACCATTCCGGGATGGGGCCACATTATCCTGCTTCAAATTACGTGTGACATTAGTACGTAAGTGAGCGGAACCGAGCGTTAAACTCTGAATGAATAGCAATTTACTTGAACGCCATCGACATATCAGCTTGTACTAATCAATGTCAAACAGTTCTCGCTAAAATATCCAGTTCCACCGTGCTGATATACGCGTTTACCAGAACTGGTCCAGTGGTGCACTACTACACACCTATATGACAGAACTTTCTGTATAGCCAGAATTGCACATTCGTGGTGTGCCGAAATGAAGGGTCTTACCAGAGCGCTAGACAGGGTTGAAATTCCCTGCTTCATGCCGATTATATAAATACAGATAAAGTTGACTGGTGAGTCGTACATCTGTGATTTTATCGACCCGAAGGCTTCTGAAATAAAAACTCTTCGACAGCTCCCCGTTGGTTTTGGCTTCACGGGGTTTATTGGGTTGGTGTGGTCCCAGTAACCCATACATTTTACTTGAACACCAAATTGTACGCAAGGGGTGAAAAGCACTTGTTTGCGACATAAGCTGTTGTTACTTGGTAACTCAGATTAACCGCGGGTGAATTTTTCATTTATGATATTCCTCACCTGAATACGCTTAATAACGGCCTCATGTTTCTGTGGCACAACAGTGAAGATGCCGAAGTTTATTTGATCGAAATCACACCAATTATATGGTTGATGAACTCTTCTGAACGGGCACCACCGGTTTTGCTTGGTAACTGATTTAGCTGGAATTCATTCGAGTTTTTCATTGGCGCTGACTAAATTTGCAAATCAGTGTATTTCTTCAATGAATTCATAATTTGTCGCTTCTGCTTCTTGTTGCTTGGTGTGATAATCTTTTTGACTTCTCTTTGTACTCCTGTTAGTTTGTGTCAAGTAACCACACATGAGTTGTTTTCTGGCCTCCTTCTATCATTTGACTTCCTCACACTCAGGCAGTAGCTTACTGGGAACACTGGCTAAATTCTCCAGGTGGTAGCTTGGAAAGTGAGTATCTGACAGCCTTTCCAAGAACGGATCCAGGTGGTAGGTTAGGAACACGAGTACATTGTAATCTGTGTAGACACGTGTGGCTTCATCGTTGCTTCTAGGCTATTTGGATAGCCAAGTTAATCGTTCCCATGAATCGCTCAATATTTCCAAGAATAGCAGGTTCTGCTTCACGTGCAACACAAAATTGACTGTTATACTCATTGTACCTTGCTATATGGAGTGACTGTACTTAGGCACGAAACGGAGTGAGATTAAGGACAACTTTTCTTGAACAGGTTCTTTCTAGCTTGGATTATTGAGCAACGATGACCTAAGCTAGCCAAAAACTAAACAACGTTGTCAATCACTTGTGACCTGTGGGCTATTTACGGTATAGTCGATTTGTACATTCCAGCACCAGAGACAAGATGGCACGTGGACACCTGCATGCGGATGGTCCGGTGTTCAGTACTTACATTTAATCAAAGTGTGCTTACTCTGGTATCCTGTGATATTTTTAATGCTACGTGCGGTTGCACAGCCGCACAGTCGTGAGACAAAAACGTGAAGCTGGTCTGTCCATCGGTGGAAGTGAAAAATTCAACTACCCTAAATGACTTGTAGCATGCTGAAACATCAACAACTATCTGTAGGTTCCATTTAAAGGGACTGGATTAAACAATCATAGTTTGTAAGCAACTAACCTCAAAGAAACTCTTTGTCACTCTTTGGTGGAAAAACAACTAACCAACACGACAGAAAATTTAGCGTCTGGTGTGTGTTATTTGAATGTCAATCTAATTTTGACGGGAAACTCACCTGGAACCCAGCTACGTCTCTCGTTTATGATGTTCTCAAGCAACTGGATAAGCAGCATCAGGCCGTCTCAAGCTTCAGTTGGTAAGACATTCGAGAAATCGCAGAACAATGTGTAGATGTAGTGCATTGCTCATAAGGTTTTTGAAACTCGTTTACAGCCCACGACCTTTTTCGCTCTTCCTGAGGATCGTCAGGTAGGCGTAACCCTGAGATTCCGTCAACCCTATGTTCTGTAGAGCCTAAATAACACACATTTCGAAAAATACCCTCATTTTCTTGTCGATTTCGCTTTGACGGGAGACTCACCGGGAACCCAGCTGATTCAATTAGTTATTCACGTGAGGACTGCTGAATTGCTAAAACCTAATGGAGTGCCAGCTGCTTGCCGTGAGTGTTTGTCAATCACCTAGGATCTGGACTGGTTCAACCGTTAAATTAGCTTCTAGTTTGGTGTGAGTAAGAAAGCAGTTGTTTGTTTCTCCGGCTGGTACACTGTGCTGATAATGGCTGACAAGGATGTGTTGGAATCTTTCCTCGGAGATCATTGTTCAGGCTCATACCTGGCATTTAGCTGATGTGTCCAGTTAAGTCTACGGTTAGATCAATCCGAATGGATAGAAGTCACCTCATCGTTGCGGTTGAAAAAGGTTCAATGCGCTTTAATTTCTAGGATCTAAGTTAATGAAATACCAAAGTATGCTTCCAAGCATACATGGGTCGCTGAACTGGCTCTATTCAGAACCGTCGAAGAGCCATCCATGAAACGATTCATTCGCCGAAGCCATTGCTCAGACATATTCAAAAAGCCAGCATCCTGCACCGGTTGTTGTCGGCCTACAAAATTGGCAGGACTTGGTTCCAGAAGTACCTACAAATCACTAAAAAAGACGCGAGCTTTCAATATAATAATCCCATTTAGACCCCGCTATCAAAACGCTTCACTCAAATCCATGTAGGGCCTGAAAAGTTGTCTTCAGGGGAAAGAAATAAAGACAAACTTTTCGTAGGAAGTAGTCCTTTTTCTGGTCCACTTCATTCACACGAAGCTGCTTGTACTGCATCTCGTGAAAAAATAGTTATATTATAGTAATAACAACAATGCATTGGTGCTGAGGGGCACAAAGCGTTATATAATTCCGTGGAAAACTCATTAAAAGTTGCAGTATTTCTCGGAGGAGATATCTGCTGACGAATGATGCCACGAACTACGGGGCATAGATTAGAAAGACAAGTGAGTTATTCAAATATATTGGATAGAAAAGATGGAACTAACTGGGATTTATAGTGAAATCATTAGAACGGGGAGATTCTCAACTCTTGGAAGTGTTTAACATGGAACGTAGTCGATATGCCCTTCTATTACAAGAATCCTATTTAACATACCGAGTTTGCTGTGGTCGGAAAACAGGAGCACATTTGGAAGCCCACTCAGTGTGAACTCGACCTTTTCATAGCAACTGGCGTTAAAGTAGAATAGAAAGAAATTTGCCGATCAAATCAGAGATCGGTCAGCTTACCTTCAAGGGCCACGCCTACCTGACCAACTTCAAGCGGGGTGCGTGGGCTGTCTGCGGATTTTGAGCAGTCGTCCCACACTAATGATATTGAACTTTGTTTGGCCTTGAAATGGGAAGTTTCTGTAAGCGATACATGAGCCAAATAGACACAACTGTGTGTTTTACGTCCAAGTAGGGACTGACCAAGTACTGTGGAGTACGGGATTGAGAGATTATTGAGGAACATGCCTCGAATGTGTGTGATGCCCGAACGAAGTAGTGTGGCCTCTTGAAGCAGGTAGATCTATAAGTGTTTATTTTTCTGTTTATTTCTCTAAGGTTTCCCTAAATCAGTATGTCTAAATTTGATAAATAAATAAAATTATCGATTAGCAAAATACACTTATTTGCAAACCAATTTGGATGTATGAAAACCCTACCGGGAACCCACATGAAACTCTGGGTTTTACATTGTCGCCAGAATTATTGACAGAGGCACACTGGTAACGAATCACGAGTGTTTAACAAATGAATGCTGTTGAATTCAGTTCTGAATGCATGAAAATATTTCTGTGCTTTGACCACCAAAGCATGCTTGTTACTTCGAACTAGCGCACCCAATTTTTATGGTTGATAAATTGAAAAAAACTCTAAATGGGTCATGGTTTTCCAAGTGAAAATGTATCTAGATGAACTCACCGTGTCGAAACGAATCACCCAGTTGAGGAGCATGTCTGGAGAAGAACTCTACGCGCAGGACAGAAGTGCAGCGCATTTCCGTTTGAGCACAGGCAGCGAGTGGGTACAACCAGCTACTTCCAGTAGTATCTGCTCCCTGCCCTGAATGAACTCGCCTGTTAATAGTACGTCCATATTGGATCTCCCCCCATCAAATGCGTGAGCACTTGATATACATCTGTCAGCAAACAGCCCATCACCGATTCTGTCGAGATATGAAACATATCGCTGGATTTCCTTATCTACTTGTCATCTGTTCTATAGTTCTTGATATTTTCTCAAATAGAGTTGTGACGTTCCTGGAACAACACCGAAGCACTTGCATCTAGACAGACAGGAGTTTACGAGAATTCTGACAGATTTGCTTGATTTCCGGTGGACGGATCGAGCTTTGTGTTGGATAGGATTCGGTTTCCTTTCAAGATGGACCAATGGTTAAGTGATGAACAGAAGCTAATGGATAGTGTGACAACCATCCCTAATGGAAATCAGTTGCACAATGAACATCTCCAATAAGAAAAGCGCAATAATAATGGTTTACACTGGGCCATTATTGATTGGCAATGCTCCACGGAACATGTTCCAGTAGAAATGAATATAATAACAGACGTAATACACTACTCATAGGGTTGCTGAAAATTTTTCGACAACTCACGACCGGTTTCACCCTTCTTGAGGCTCACCAGGTAAGCACAGTCTATGCATGTATCGTGATATCTTAAATATCGTACCAACTTAAACATGAGGCGGCCTGGTGCAGCAAATTCAGTTGCCTGGAAGCACCACAAACGAGAAACTCAGCTGGGTTCCAAGTGAGCCTCCCGCACAACCAAATTTGATTGCAAATGAGTGTATTTTGATGAATATGATGTTTTTAACCGAGGTGCAACCAATTTTGTGACAGCTTTCTCGTTCCTCTTTTCCGTCATCTAAAAAGCTTATATTGCTACTACAGGAATACTTGTATCTTCCCAACGGCATGTTCTGTGGGCCAATTTTCATAATCAATTCAGACTGAGACAACTCACGGTAAACTGAATAACATGTTTACGCAGTTATATTGATTTTTGAAGTAAGTACACTTGACTGTCAGTTGTGTCATGGAACTGACTGCAGTCTTTGTGATGGTTCGATCTGGTTGAGTGAGTGCATGAATGGAAAACAACCAAGGCGCTTGTCAAAATCGAGCATCAAATCCAGATTGACTTCACTTGCAAAGAAATCTGCGCGTACTCTGTACGGAAGCATAACTATAAACCCTGTGGATCCTTAGGATATCACCTTTGTACGTACAATGAAATGCAGAGAATATACTTGTTTATGTAAAACCGGGCTCATCTCCTCAATCAATTAATCAATGAAACGATGAACATGTCAACGAGCCAGTCAACCAATTAATCGATCGATCGGTTAACCAGACATTTGTTTCCTATTTTGTCCGGTGAGCCGAGCAATTTGGTTGCGATCTCTTTGTCACGCCCGAGGTGACGTCATCAGTGCGTGCTAAGTTGGGGGTGTGTAATAACGGTATTTTCTCAGCTTAGTTCTCGGTATAAGTCTTCCAAGCTAGCGTTCCCAACAAAACAACCACCAAAGGTGCAAAACGTTTATTACCGCTCGAAACCATATCGAAAACACATGCACCACACGTCGCGGCGACAACATTCTGGAAATTCTGACACCTGGATTTATCACTGGCAAACAGTATCCGGCGGATACTGGATCATGATGGCTTTTGGGTCCAAACGTTCGTCCAGTCGGAGCTGGCATTGATGTTGTCCAACCACGTGCGAGATAGGCTTCTTGGCTGTAGCAGCAACTGAGTGCGAGCGGCTAAGCCTTATGGATGCAGAATCCCGCCTAACCTGGTGCCCTGTAGTTCGTCGGTAAGCTACCAACATCTACCTCTATATCAACTAACCAGGTGTTCAAGGGGGCAGTCGGTAATCCTACCCAAAGTACTTGAATTATTTCTTCTCTTTCTATTTCGC